GACTGACTGGTAGGTTCAAAATGCTGACATTTTGGTAAACAGCTGAGTGCTTTAACCACTATGCTACCAGGGCTACCTTCTAGCAAAATAAAAAAAAACCAAAAAAACACCAAACCTGTTGGTAACATCCCCTACAATGTCAGCCCATATTATTTAGCCCCACCCATAGCTCAAGATGTGGGTATTGATTGGTCCTGATCAAATTAGTGAACCGCATTCTCCTGGCTACAATAATTGGTTCAGGGAGGGGCACATAATCGACAGAGCCCATTAGATACAATAAGAATTTGCTGAGATTTCTGGTAAAGCGATCCTTTTTCTGTCCCCTCAGACATGAGTAGGGAAGGATATAAACCTTGGAGCTTGCTGTAGCCACTTGTCCACCAAATGGAATTTGAGATTGGAATCCAAGTAGCAGGAAGCAGAATAGAGAAATAGAGAAAAGCCTCATCCTGATGGCATTCTAGTGTTTAAATCCTTCACCCAGCTGCATTTGAAGCCAGCCTACTATAAACTTATCAGAGACAAGAGATAATAGATTGTCTCCCCCAGTTTGATTTGAATTTTCTGTCTCTTGCAACCTAAATAGTACCTAATAATACAAAAACAAACAAATAAAACAACCTAAATATTGTATTGTCATATAAAGTATAGGAGAAAGTTCTTAGAAAGATACATTTCAAAATGGTAAGCATGGTCATCTCTGGGAAGAGGGAGCTGTTATAGGGGAAAGATGGTTGGGAAGAAACTTTTGTGTTATCTATTGTTAGACTGATTTACACTAAGGATGCATCATTTGTACAATTAAAAACAAACATCCAATAAACAAACACCCTTCTGCCAACCCCACCAGCTCCTCTCAATATCAATAACAAATTCTCTGTTGAATTATTTACCAATGCCTTCATCTGATACTCATGATATATAGTAGGATAGCTAAAACCTGTCTTTCTGTCCCTCTTCTATGGTAGGTCTTTAGTGTTTCTGCAGGTTGTAACCAAAATTTCCTTAAAACTGGAGCTTTAGAATTCACCTTGCAAACTCAGAATTATAGTTTACCCTGGAGTAGAAATTATTTTTCCAAATAATTTTTTCACACCTACTCTAGTCAGTAAGTAGTTAATGCATCATTATATGCCCTGCAAGTAAGAAAAACAAGGTACAGACTAACCTAGTGATTTGTCTAGAATTGTACGAT